TCGCTAAATGGTCCCTACCAGATCCAGCATGCTGCTTTGGTGGTTCAGGTAATGGGACAAATGCCGTTCATTCAGTTTTAAATCCCCTCCAGCCCTTGATACAAGTGATGAGTCAGAGGAGTTTCAGTGGTTCAAAAATGAGTTTTTGTTTTACAATCTTCCAAAATTGAGATCATTTCACTTTGTTGAGAAAGGGAGTTGTTTTGGAAACCCCTCTCAAATGTAGAGGTTTGTTTAAGAAAAGTGTCTAGAATTATCAAAATATTTTTTAAAAAGGAATGAATGATCCAACCAACCAATCAGTCATGTTTGCCCCCCAAAAAGAAACTTGATAAGCATCTTTTTAAATAACAAAATGTGTTTCTAAGTGAGTTTTCTGCCTTATTGTTCCAAACGTATTGACTAAAATGGTTTTAATCCAGATGTGCAGCAGCAACTGTAACAAGGGGAGCAGTTTATGGTGACTAAATTCATAAAAATAAGGATTTGTTTAATTTTTTGCATTCTCAGATGATCAATAAGATGTGATATTCCATACAAATATGAAATATCAATCCACGACCATAATTCAGAGTCAGTATATAGTTTAAAACATTTATTTGATTCTTTTTCCTAAACTAATTATACACAACAAGATATGAATAATGAGGTGGTGTGGTGGATGTGAGGTGTTGTGATGGAAGCTAGATGTTGTAGCAACTGTTCTTTGTATCTGAGAGAATTTGTGAATACTGGGTGTAAAATAATTTGTTGTTTGTTATAAACTAGAGATTCAGTTATTGATAAAAACCTCATCAGACTCCAGTATGCAGGCTTACGATACCCTTGTATGAGTTGCTCCCGGCGGTCCAGAGGTTTGCGGTCAGAGTGGTGAGGTCACCGGACGTCAAAACCACAATACTCAGAGATTAGTAGCTTCCTCTGCGTTCAGCTTCCCCGGCCATGAGATGCAACCCGGGGTCTGCAGGTTAGGTGTCCAAGGTGGATGTCCGAGTTGAAGTAGCTCTGAAAAGCTGTTGTGTCTGTAATCACTTGCAGCGTCGGAGAAAGGTTTTGACTTAAGATCAAAGGGACATTGTTTCAAAAGAGGCTTCTTTCCCGATTTGGCCGAATCGGGGTCAGCTGGAAGCAGAATTAAATGGGAAGTAATTCTTGTTTTATGAAACTACTTTGTTATGATTTCTGGCCAAGTTTGGCAAATCAGAATTTGACACGTTTCTGAGTATTTACCAACATCCCTCAGAGAGCCACGCCTTCCTACAGATAAAAACATGTTTTTAACCTTAATGTGTATCTTATTGTAATATTGTTACACCCCTCCGCCTCAAAGTATTCCTTCCACCATCCGACTATAGCACCAGTTGACGTCAGCAGCTCCCCATCCCCATTGTAAACAGTGTGAGCGAGTTGCTGCCTTCCTCTCCTGAGGCGCTGGACAGTTTGCCAGAACCTCTTTGGAGCTGATCGATAGTCTTTCTCCATCGCCTCACCAATCTCCTCCCGCGCCCGAGATTTTGCCTCGGCAACTGCCACTGCTGCACCCCGCTTGGCTATCCGGTACCTGTCTGCTGCCTCCGGAGATCCACAGACCAGCCATGCCCTGTAGGCCTCCTTCTTTAGCCTGATGGCTCCCCAAACCTTTGGTGTCCACCAGCGAGTACGGGGGTTGCCACCACGACTGGCACCGGCCACCTTGCGACCTCAGCTAGCAACAGCCGCCTCAGCAATCGAAGAGTGGAACAAGGCCCACTCAGAGTCAATGTCCCCCACTGCTCTCGGGACGCGGTCAAAGCTCTGCCGGAGGTGGGAGTTGAAGACCGTCTTGACAGGTTCTTCTGCCAGGCGTTCCTAGCAGACCCTCACTATGCGTTTGGGTCTGCCAGGTCTACGCGGCATCTTCCCCTGCCATCTGATCCAACTCACCACCAGGTGGTGATCAGTTGACAGCTCAGCTCCTCTCTTCACTTGGGTGTCCAGGCGGGCCATTCCTCCCAATCACACCCCTCCAGGTCATGCTGTCATTGCCCACGTGATTACCTTGTCAGGATCCAGAGGTCAGGGAGGTCAGATGACCTCGGGGCACCCAGGTCCAGTATTTTGACCACACGGTAGCGACTTTCCACGGTCCAAAAGATGTCAACAGGCAATACAGGATGGAATCAGCTTGCGTCTCAGGGATTCTCTTATGGAGTTGAACAATATCAGCTTTGATCTGCAGGAAGTTTTTCTCATTAGCTTTGCGGATGCAAAAAGGTTCTTTCTCGATGTGTAAAAATCTGGGATGTTTATGGAGTATTAAAAACAGGTGGCCAATCTGAGCTATCTCCAGAACTTTCCAGTACTCTCCAGGACTGTTCAGAACTGAAGATCTCTCAGTCTGCTTTAGTTTTATAAGTTATTTGTTATGGTTTGGTCAGCCAATTAGAAGCTGACAGGAACATAAATGTTACCAAGGCAACAGAAACATGCCTTCTTAATGTGAAGACTCTGATCTGGGTGGAAGGTCTAGCTATGTGAAATGAATTTGACTTAGCTGTACTTGTTATGGTTTTTGAGCAGTGTGAGCAGGTGTGAAGACCTTGTCGTCAAAACATGGTGAACACAGTCTATTAGATAAACGTAACATCCACTCAGTGGTTTAGATTAATGAAGCATTTCATTTCATTATATTTTTCCCAAAAGTAATAATAAGCAATTTTTAATTTAATGATTTAATAGATTAAAGTAATAAAAGGAGTTAGTAATGATTTATTATAATATTCTTGAGTTTAGCAACTTATTTGAGCTGCTCTTCTTTCTTCTGGAGGCGCAGATAAGACCTTGGGGGAAAAGTTAGTTCTTGTTTTGGATCAGACAAGTGGAGTCTGACTCCCAGCTGGTGTGAAGGCAGACTTGTTTAAAGGGAACACAAGCAATGTTGTGTCTCCTTAAAGACCAGATGTTGAATAGATGGTGGAAGGTCAGCTGTACCTAAACTGACCATTGCTGGATGCTACAGACCGCCCTATCCAAGGGCACGGGGTCCTGGCAGAAACCACGGGTCATTAGAACTAGTCAGAGGCCCTTGGGACTCAGTTGAGGAAGCACAGGTTAGTTTCCAGGCAAAGGCCCCTGGAGTGAGGAAAGCAAACCCCAACACCAGAGAATAGTCAGTGTAGCTCCTTAAAGAGCAAGTAATGTCTAAATTAACTTTTTTTAGCTGATGAACTGTATAAATGAGTGTCTAATAGTGTTTTAAATGTGTGTATTCATTATTTTAGCATTTTGGTGCATTTTCTTTAAAAATTAAAAATTCTGTCTAAAAACCACAGTAATGCGCCACCTTCAGCTGAAAACATAGAATTTGAGTCATTTTGAATAAATTTTAGCCAATGGCTAAAGAGTAAAATACTACGTAAACCAGTAGAGTACTACATAGCAGCTCTGTGCCAAAGTTATAAAAGCATCGAGCGTCTCGGCCACGCCCTGTGGCGAGTGGGAGTTGGATTTGCAAGCGAGAGTCAGACGGTTAGCGATAGTTCAGCATTAGCATATACCATTAGCATATTCTAGTCTTTAGCATAGCTTTTAGTTTTATACAGTTATTTAGTGTTAGCTTGGCTGTTAGATATTGTAGTTTAGTTAGTGTTTGGCTGTTAGTGTAATTAGGAAAATAGTTCGGGTTTAGTGGTCCATATCGTGTTATTACTTATTTAGTGTTAGCTTGGCTGTTACATATTGTAGTTTAGTTAGTGTTTAGCTGTTAGTTTTATTAAGAAAGTAATTCGGGTTTAGTGTTCCATATAGTGTTAGTATGGTTAGAAGGTGTTGTGTGGTTGCGGTAGGTCTGTGGGGTTGCGCTCCTTTCCACTGGACTTAGAAATTAGGCGCCAGTGGTTGGGCGCAATCGGTGTACAGGATACCAGTCAGCTCCCGCCTGGTGCTGTAGTCTGCAACCAGCATTTTACCCGCGATTCCTTCGCCAACATGATGGAGTTTGAACTGGGTTATTCTGCACGTCTCCGATTGAAGAGGGAGGCTGTGCCCACCGTGGCTCTTCTGCCATTTAGATGCAGCCCACCGACTCTGCTCCCCCACCATGGCGGGCTCCAGTCTGAGGTGAGTAAGCCAATTAAAAGTTTTAACATCTTCTAAAGAAAATTCCCTACCTAAATGCAAAGTTTGAGAGACGTGGTTTACTCCATTTAGCTAATATCAGCCTGCACTGCCTTCAGGCTGATTTGTCAAGTTCACAAAATGTGGAACGGGATGTAAGGTTAGAATCAGCGGCGAATCGGAACATATCTCGAAGCCCTGGCCGACAAAAAGGTCCACATGACTACTTCTGTCAGGCTTGGAGAAAATTCGGGTTGTTTTTGTGTCAGTCGGTAATTCTGCAACAGTGGCTCTAACGCAGCACTAGTTGACAGACAGCATTACAGCGTGAAATCCAGCTTTACACCAAAGCCTGACCCGGTTCTGTAAGGAATTCTGTACAGGAGGTCGCACTTCAGGCTCTTCACATCATATGGGACTGACTTTTCCGTTATAATACCGATCACACACTAGGAATGTTATAAAGCGCCTATATATATATATTTCGGACAGTTTCTTTTGTAAATTATCTGACTTTATAAACTTTAACAACATTGTGATTCTATTTTTTTTTTCAGGTTAAATCTACCCAAGACATTGGCTGTCAGACTGATTTAGTAATCTGCAAAAATGCACTTGTCCAGGCTGACGTGAAGCCTTACCGACGTAGCAAAGGTGAATTATTTTTAATAATCTTCTATGTAAATATTTTATTATTACCTTCTAGTTTTAATTTGTTTTACAGATTATTGTTTCACGTGATTTTATGCTCTTTTAAACATTTATAAATGTGCTGCTTCTTTGTTTTTAACATAGCCACACAGTTTAGCGCTCCTAGCCGCAGTGTGTCTTGTGACCCACAGGGACCGTGATGGAAATTAATCTTCCAGAAAGTCCCAGAGCAGCGTCCACACCCCTGAAAAGACCAAGATGTGAGGTGTCTGCTGTAGATCCCAGCTTCCACCTCAATGACAGTGCAAGCTCAGTGAACTGTTCAAGGTAAAAAAAAAAAATTATAACATTTTAGAATTTTTTAGATATGACCATATATATAAATGTATGTGTTCTATACAGCTCTTTCACTGAGGTCCATCCACAAAAGGACAAGAAGTACATTGTTTATGAGAAACAGTTGCTGGGGCTGTTCAGAAGGTGTCCCGTTTGTACCGGGCGTTGTGTTGTGAACACGACGACAATCGGCACACTGCTCCGTGTGACACAACGGTGTTCATGCTGTGAGCACTACAATGAGTGGTCCAGTCAGCCCATGGTGAACAGCATCCCAGCAGGAAACCTCCAGCTCTGTGCTGCTGTCCTTTTCACAGGCTCATCATTTAGCCAGATTTCTAAGGTATAGGCCAAAACTGTTTAGGTTAGTTTTGATAAGGTCTGTGCATCTCTCATTTCATGATGTAACTTTTCATATTTTAGTTCCTGGGTGCCTTCAATGTGCAGGGACTGTCCAAGCAGACATTCTATCGACATCAGGCAAAGCTGTTAATTCCAACAGTGAGCGGGCAATGGCAGCTAGAGCAAGCTGATATCATCCAGGAGGCTACTGAATCTGGACCTGTGACTCTTTGTGGTGACATGCGAGCTGATTTACCTGGTGAATACGTTTAAATTTATTTATTTTATTCCTTTGCTATCAAATGTAAATTAAGTAATAACTTGCATTTCTTGAAAGACACTCAGCCAAATATGGCAGCTACACCATGATGGATCTCAAAAGAAACAAAGTTATTGATATCCAACTTGTACAGGTATAACATTACCTGATGATTCCAATACATTTCATGGTTAATTATTCATAGATCAATGGAGAATTATGTTTATTTTCAGAGCAATGAAGTTGGAAATAGTGTGCGAATGGAGAAGGAAGGATTTGTGCAAAGTCTGAGCACACTTTTGGAGAGGGGGGTCGATGTGCAGCAAGTTGTGACTGACCGCCACACAGGAGTGCAGAAATATTTGCGGGAGGAAAAAAAGGAAATCAGTCACTACTTTGACCCCTGGCACATGGGAAAAGGTCATCTTTGGGGATGTATATAGTGAATATTACAGGATTTTTTTTTTCCTATTTTAAATGTGGGTCTATTTGGCTCTCCAGGAATTGGTAAGAAAATCGAAGAGCTGGGGAAGAGAAAGACAACTCAGGATGTGAGACTGTGGAAGCAAAGTGTTGTGAACCACCTCTACTGGTCAGCATCCAGTTCCTCCTCAGGAGAGGAGGCAGTAGCAAAGTGGACTTCAGTTGCCAACCACATCCAAAATGTGCACAGGCATGACAACGCCCTGTTCCCTAGCTGTCTGCATGCACCTCTGGATGGAGAACAGGCAAGACAGTGGCTCATACCAAGTAAGTGTAGCATGTACTCATTACAGCTGAGCCTTTACTGTTTGGTTTATTTACATTTAAAACACGTCACCCCACAACAGAATATTTGTCTTCACCTCCTTCAACATGGAGAAATATTTTTGGAGCATGAGAGTTACAGACGTCACATGTAGCTGCTAAGGTCACACACCACCATTTGGCCAACAGAAATTAATTACTAAGAATAAAATGCTGTGCAGAAATTTAAACACAAGAGGGCACCACACAACTCATGGTTTTAGGCAGAACAGCTTTAATTGACATAATATGTACTAAAATGCCGTAAGTAATGACCACACCTGTCTACAGCACTATTAGTCACTCATTCATACATTTGTCATCTAAAAATGTCAGCTATGGGTAACTTTTTCTCAATGAAATAATAGCAACATTCTAAAGTTGATCAAATTGTAATTTATGTAATTAACATTTTCTACGTAGGCACAGCATCATGTGAGAAGCTCACTGCCATTCTGTTAGCTCCACGGTTTGTGAAGGACGTAGAAAAGATAAGCCCTCAGTACCACACATCCACCTTGGAGGCTTTCCACAGCCTCATCATCAGATTTACTCCAAAAAGTCAGGTCTTCTCCTTCAAAGGAATGCTGTCTAGGTAATGAATACAACAAATGGTCAAATGAATGCCTCTAATTGTTTAAAATTTCTCATGAAATGTAGAATCATGCATAAAATCTATATAGGTTGTTTATTTAATTATTTCAGATTACAAATTGCTGCAATGCACTATAATGAAAATGCAGCACGCTCACATGCAGCAACAGCAACTGGTGAGCTGAGATATGCTGGAGTGTACCCAAAGTACAAACGTGGAGACTACACAGTGAGAGCTCTGAAGACCAATCCAACCTCATGTATGTCAGATATTGTATGATAAAACTAAAATGATGGTCATGGAGAGCTATTGTAATACTGAAAACCCTTTTCCAGTATATGTGCACAAGCTTATGGATCTGCTGTTCGACTCTGTGGTGGTGGATCCTCTCCCATATCAGGAGTACTCGGACAAAATTCCGGTTCCAGAACCGCTCAGTGCCCAGTTCCAAAGACCAGATAAACGGGATGCTGTGAGCAGGCACAGGTCCAGGTTTTAAAGTGCACGTAAGGTGAGCTACACAACAAGAAATTGTAATTATTAGTTAGTATTCTACTCTGTGTGGTTTTTCCTTCTCTCCTCTTCAGCCAGGCAGCTCACCACTGTACGACACCGGTCGTCATTATGGATCTTTATGCTCATCCACTCGTGACTCATGCTGTCCACCTCCCAGATGTCTATTGATCTCTACAACCTTTCTGCTCTGTGGCTCCCATACAACTTGAACATCTTGGCCGTATGTAACATGACAAAACTCACCAGTCTTGCTTTTGTAAGTCATACTAATATTCCATTTTTCCTCAGAGCCTCCTGATCTTGTAACAGAAAAACCTGTGCTCCTGGGATCCATCTCCACGTTTGTCATCACAATGAAAGCTACCTCCAGTCTAAGGAACCAAAGAAACATCACTGTTGGCCCAACCTCTCCTCACATGGCTCCAGAATCTCTGCTTGTGGTTTAGTTTAGTCAAAAATCATGAAAGTTATGATCAGATTGTAATCTAACATTGTCTTAGTAGTAGCTATAATAAATGTTATCTTTGCAGTGCAATTGTGTCATTTTAAATACAATTATATTGATATTTTGATGTGTATAAATACATATCACATTTATTAAATTATCATTCATTTTTACCTAATTGAATCTGCTCTAGAATAGACTTCATTAATCACACAGGGTGTAAATTCACTTGTTACAGCAGCATTAATTAACCCCGAATTAGAATCTTACTGTTGTAAGAGCTCATTTGAAAAGTGTGTGGCTATATGTGTATATATAAATAATGTCAAAGTGTAAAGAAGTGCATTTACCGTTTAGTGATTTATGCAGCTTTTTATGGACAGGAATCAATACAGGAAATTTATATTATGACATTTATTTAATCCAAAAAAAAAATTAGTTCAGAGGAGGGAGGAATCCTTTGTATGCACCGTCTTCTGGGAACTCCTGCCTTATTCTGGAGACAGCGCATGACGGGATCACAACACGAACGTGCTGTCCCAGGTAACCCCAACACCACCTGACCACATTCCGGTACGCCAGATGTCTGTAACAGCTGAGAAAGAGGTGGTATGAGTTATAAAGTATTCATAAAAAAAGTCATTTGACAGTTGTCTTACCTGTTGAGCGTAGTCTCCTGCATCTCCCCATAGAGTTGCAGAAAGGTGCCATAAACTGCCTGCAACACGTAGGGATTCAGAACAACAGCCTCAAAACCAGGATGCTTAGTTATGCAGGAGGTTACACCCACCTGCTGACACCTGAGCATTACCTACGACAAAGAACAACTGATATCAGGGCTATAAGAGTTCAATATTAGTATGATGTTAGTGATTGTGTAACAAATGTGTACATTACAGAATGCTTTTCTCATGGTGGGGTACTTTTATTTTCATACCTTGGGTGTTTCTCTGCAGCACACATTTTCTCTGGCTGACAATGATGTGCAATGGCCGCAGGTGCACCTGTTGAGGCAGTCATACAATATTACTTTTAGCTAAGCTAAATACAGCTTTAGCTGTGGCAAAAAGCTACTTACCACTCAGAGACTGGACCCATTCGATGCCTTGATACACCTGTTGGCTCGGCTCCAGGGGCCTCTGACAACTCACGAGCTAGTGGCTCAAAAAGATACGGTTCAGGACCGCTTGCTTCCCCCAAAAAGCCCTCCTCCCTATCCTCTGGGGATGAAGGTGGGGAAAAGTCCTCCACCTCGAATGACTGCTCTGAGCTAGTGTCGCTCTCCGTCGCCATCTGGCTTCAAATTTCAGTATGTCAATCACGGTCGTAGCTCCGCCTTCTCTGTCTTACAGGAAACGCCTCTTTGGGCTGCATTTTTCAAATATGAAATGTGGGTGGAGTAAGACTCTGAGGGGGACATTACTACTACTTTAAACAACAACAACAACAAAAAATCCACTTCTGAGAAACAAAAGTAATCCACTTATCAGGATCCTCAGGAATGTAAACAGATGACCAGAGGCCGGTCCAGGCCCAGGCGAACCGCAGAGCTCCCGTAAGTACGGCAGGAACCACAGGACGTCCAGACCCACACGAACCGAACCCTCAGTCAGCAGGCAGCTACATCAGGCGATGGTGTAGAGAGACCCGCCCAGGAAGCGACGACCACAGGCGAACCCAGAGGAGAAGAAGAGCAGACACAGGGCATTTCAATGTAGACGCACATGGATGGCGTCTGATGCGAAACAACAAACAAAAATAAACCTAGCACTACATGTGCCTACATGTTTTATGTGAAGCAATTATGTGAACCCTGTATGTGCTATGTGAAGCAAATTATGTGAACGGAGTTCAGGTGATAGAAATGGATGTAGTAAACTACGTGTACTGAAAAATTGTTGCAAAAAGAACTAAATCAACATAACCCTATAATACAAGTAAGGGAAAATCAACGCTTGGAGCAAAATGTTATCAAAAAAGAAGGCAAAATAAACTGTAGCCCATAACTGGTAAAAATCAAAATAAAATTGATCATAATAGAAATGACAAAAGGAAATCAGCTGTAATGAAATAATGCAGAAATATATCTGTGATTATCTGTTTAAAGAATCAGTAATACAGCAAATATAAAGAGGATAAATCACATTAATGTAAATCAGAGATGTTAGTACTCAAACCTACATGTGAATATAAACAGTAGAAATTAGAGATTAGTAAATAAAATGAAGTATATAAAAATTAATAAATGGACCCAAATTAGTCCTTCAGCGTACAAAAAAAAATTTGTCTAAATCAATAGAAGTTGAAAAATAAAAATTGCTTTTGGATCAAACATGACAGTTAGTGGATTTACTCACTTTTAACTGTCATGACCTAACAGAACCACAGCAGTGTCATCCAAGTTCGTATGCTACATTTAGACATGAATTCTATCCACGCACACACATACACACAACAGAACTTGTGAGACCTGAAACAGGGAACCGAGGGAGAGTGGATGGAAAAGTCCCCCCCCCCCCCCCCCCCCTTTGAGTCGATTTGATTTTGGTCAGCAGATCCATGGGTTGCAGCTTCGTCCAAATAGGCGGAACCCTTGTGTAATTTGATCTGATTTCTGTGGACCCACTTATAGATGGGATGTTTGTTCCATTCGGTGATCTTGATCTGATACACAATCGGAGAGAGTTTTTCAGTTATCCGGTATGGACCGGACCACTTCGGCACTTAGCCAGTTTACCAGAGGTTGTTTTTGTTTGACCAGTATTTGGAGCAAAAATATAGAACCAGGCCTTATCACCCACGATGAATGAGTTCAGAATGTGAGGTCTTCTGATCATAACAGGCCTTCCTGCCTTCAGCTGATCTCTCCAGATTTGTCTGTGCAAAAGAAAACGCTGCAGGCAGATGGTCCAAGTCTTGCAAATACTGCTCGTTGGTGTAAGCTGTATCTGCACTGGGTTGAAATGACTGATACAGCAAGTGAAGCGTCAGGGTCATTTGTCTACCCGTCATCATCTCAAACCGGGAGACGCCTGTAGACTCATGAGGAGTGGCCCTTATGGCCATAAGGACCAACGGAAGCTTCACATCCCAGTCTCTGTGATTAGAGGACAGATATTTCTTCAACATGCCAAGAACTGTTCGGTTCATGCGTTCGACCTGGCCGGAAGACTGGGGCCGATAACCAATGTGGAAATTGGCCTTGACACCCAACATCCTCCAAAGGTGTTCCATCACCCCAGAGGTGAAGTGAGTTCCCCTATCCGAGTTAACATGTTCGGGGAGACCGAACCGGGAGAAGATGTGATTCATCAAGAGGACAGCAGTTGTCTGAGCCGTGTCGTTAGGTGCCGGCAAACACTCAACCCATTTGGTGAATGCACACGTCACGGTCAAGAAGTATTTGTTACCTCTGCTGGACTTGGTCATGGGCCCCACCCAATTGAATTGCAGGTCCGACCACGGAGTGGATGGCCCTCTGCTCTGAAGAGGAGCTCTGTGGATGGGGTTAGATGGTTGAAATTGGCAGCAAACCAAACAGCTTTGGATGTAGTCTGAGATGTCCTGATGCATCCCCGGCCAATAGCAACCTGGCTAAGGGCACTGAACGTGGCCTTGACACCTTTGTGCCCAGAAGAAGGAGAATCATGGGCTTGTACTAACATAGCCCCCCTTAGGGACTGTGGTGCCACAAGGACAGGTGACGACGGAGGCTTGGAGATGTGCATTAGCAAACCTTTAACCATCCTCAGCGTGACACGAACCCGAAAGAGAGCACGGAGCTCAGGAACGGAGCCAAGCTCGACAGAAGAAGGCAGATGAGCTGTCGGATAAGAAAGGTACAGGCTCATCCTGCTGATAGCAGGGTCCCGGGACTGGAGGCTGACAAGGTCGTTGTCAGAAAAAACTGGTTTAACAGACACGAAACCATCAGATGGTCGAGGGGTGGACGCCTTAGCGGCCTGAGCTCGAGTCACGACACACACAACGGGTGGGTCTGACCGAGAGGACACATCGTCAGGGTGCCACAAGGGGTCAAAGGACCACGGGGTACCAACAGCTTCACCTTGAGTGGCAAGAGAGTCTGTAAGATTGTTTAGATCCTTATCAGCTCCAAGTGAATGAGAATGACCTTTGACCTTACGCAAAGGTAAATGATTGTCATGAGATGTTATCAGTAGATCTGGGGGCTCTCGGAGTGTGGTACCCGAAGAGGACTCAGGTACATACGGTCGCGTTAGGAGAGGCTGCGGAGGGAGTTTAGCTGCCCGCAACTAACAAAAGGTACTTTGTCAGTCCTGAAAACTGAAACAAAGAATGTTTTGGATCGTACATTTGTGTAGGCGCGGCTTTGCAAGGGATCGGCGCAGGTGAGCTCTCTGGAGGGCCCTTGTTCGACGCACAGGTGCAGTCAGAGAGACTAGGGTCTGCCAGTAGTGGTACAGGGTGGCAGGCAACCCCCCCTGTGGTAGGTGGATCAGTGACAGAGGTCACCAGCGCCAGCAGTACCGGTGGAGGAGGGTCAGTGATCTCAACAGCCCCCCTTTTGGCAGGTGGTGTTCCCACCGCAAGGTATTGGGCCACGGCCAGAGTCTCAGCGGCACCATTATCTCCCCCATCGGCAGGTGGTGTTCCCACTGCAGGGTTTGGAGTCTCAGGTGGAGTGTCACCGCAACCTCCTTTCAGAACCATCCACTTGAGCAGGTCGGGAGTATATCACAGGGCTGTGCTGTCGCATTTATGTATTTGTAAGATGAAGTCTTCTGAAAAACGATGAAAACCTAGACATTTTATCAATCTATGAAATCTTCCCAGATGCCCCTAATAGCACATAAAAAGCAAAAATGTCACGGAAAAAGAGGTTTGGTCACCTAGCATAAAGTGCATGGTTGTTAACCGTTATTGCTGCTAGCTAACTGTTACCAGTAGATGAGAGAAACATTGCCCTCTTTTTTCTACTGCCAGCCTTGTACTTACATTTGCCGTTAATCCAACCAAACTCTGGCTACAATAGGCATGATAGTGTTTTAAAATTGTTTTTTCAAATTTATAATGTTTGCAGATGATACAAATTTAGTTTGTTCAGGTGAAGATATAAAAGAACTTTTAAAGAAGGCCGAAAAAGAGTAAAATATCCTCAAATCTTGGTTTGATGTAAATAAACTATCACTGAATATAAAAAAGACTAAATTTATGATTTTTGGAAATAAGAAGGTAAAAAATGGAGACTTTAAATTAACAATTTCAGATACTGAAATTGAAAGAGTGTCTGAAATAAAATTTCTTGGTGTTGTGATTGACTCTAACTTATCCTGGAAGCATCATTTAAATTATATAAAATGAAAAATTGCCAAATCCTTGGGTCTATTATATAAGCTGAAGGACATACTAAACCATAAGGCCTTACGTCTAATATACTGTTCACTAATACAACCATACATGGCATATTGTATAGAAATATGGGGTTCAACCTTTAAAACATATATACATGAAATAAAAACTATACAAAAGAAAACTATTCGAGTTATAAACAAGAGCAATTATTATGCTCATACTGACCCGTTGTTTTTAAAATCACAGATTATGAAATTAGAAGATCTATATTATTATAAAATAATGCAATTTATGTTTAGAGTAAAATTAACGGCTCTGCCAAAAAATATACTAATGTTTTATGCAAAGAGGGAAAGTAAATATGGTTTAAGAGGTGTATGTATGTTTGTTCTACAAAAAGCCAAAAAGGGCATGAAAAGTAGATGTATCTCTGTAATGGGAGTAAAATTTTGGAATCAGGCTAAAATAGAATTAAAATTAGCAACTTCTCTTTCAGTTCTTAAAAAACTTATCAGTAAAAATATTTTTGAAGAGTATTAATTTGATGTTGATGGATGGATTTGTGTTTTACTTTTATTTGGGTTGTTGGTTCATTGCGGGAAACTGAAAAATTGTTTTGTAAGTAGGTTAGGCAATTATATAAGCTATTGCTTCTGCCTAAACCTATTCAGTCATGAGATACCAAATAGACACCATATACAAATGAAAACATATGTCAGTGAGAAATGGTATTTGTATCTATTTGTATGACATGTTATTGTACATTATCTTAAGATGACTGACTGAATAAATTGATCATTCATTCAAAAATTGATCATTCATTCATTCATTCAAAAACTCATCGAGTAGATTCGTTTGGTGTCTTTAAGATCTGAAACAATGCATTTTAACAATAAACAGTTATTTTGATTCATTATTACTGTCAAGCAATCAAGTCTTATTAAACTTACTTTAGATAAAACATTCATTGGTCTATGGTTGTAATTAATATGTAAAGTGGGAAAATCATTGTATAAAACAGAATATTAATCTTTTATTAAGGTTAAAAAGTCTCGTCTTCTCCAGGAGTCCTGCAGCACAGATAAAGAGCAGGAGAGGAACTTTGTTATGACGGTTCCCCAGATGGCGAGGTCAAAAACAGAGCATTTGTTCTAGTTTGGAAAGCACAGTTTACCTTTAGCCCACTGATGAAGATGGCTGGGCAGTGTAATGACCTTTGGTATTACATGGCTTTCTTAAGCCGGGCGTACACTGTGCGACTTTTTCACTTTTTTGATCCGATTTTCCAGTCGTGCGAGAATCCACGACATCGGGGCGAGTTTTGCGCCGAGCGGTCGTGTAGTGTACAGGGGGTTACGAGAGGCGATTAACACCACGTGACCAGCTGCCGATCAGCAGTCGTGAGGTCGCACGGACTTCTGACGTGTTTGAAATTTCGCTCGTCCCTCGTGAGGGTATTGCACTGTTGAAGCGGCGCTGCGAGCAGCTGCGACCCAAAATGTATCAGAACCGCTCACGGCGCATGCACAATCCTGCATCAACGCCGCTCGCTATTTCCCTAATAACACACATTGTTCGTTTTTGTTTCTACACGTTTTTTTACTCACAAAGATTGTCAAGAAAGCGTGTTTGTCGTGTTCATGTCAAATTAAACTGATCACAAAACACAGATTTACTTTCTTTATTTCGTTTTCCTCATCCAACCCCCATAAATCCCTGTGTGTCCTGCAGCACTCCCAAAGGACAACAGGCAAAACAAAACAAAAAAGTCTGACGTGTTGTGTAAAAACTGCTATTTTTAGCATATTTTTAGGGCCGACGTGTTGCTAACAGACGTACAGTGTGAGCAGTCAGGTCGCATGCGAGAACTGGGTCGTGCAGTGTGAGCACATGACTCGTGAGATCTGCCCTGCGAGGAAGTCGTACAGTTTGAGCTGAAGCTGAGTGCTACGAGTGAAAAAGTCGCACAGTGTACGCCCGGCTTTACACTACAGTGTGAATGGGTGAATGGCCTTGGGGGGGGTTGGAGAACCCTAGAAGGCCCTATACAAATACAAGACATTTACCATTTCGAAACATTAAAATAATGCTCTTTGGTTCCCTTAGATCCGTTTCACTCCCACAGTTGTGGCCCTTGAGGTGTTTGAACCGCTCTTAGTCCGAGCTCTAAGCTGAGACCATGTTGCCATGGGAGACAGGGGCTGATGGCCCTGACAACACAGCTTACAGGATCATGGAGCTCCTCAAACCCTTCCACCACGATAAGGTGGCGATTCTGCGGAAGGGATTTTTTTTCTTTAATTTTAGTTATTTTTTAGTTTTTTTTTAATCTTTTTGTTTGTTTTCAAACCTGTTTATGTTTAATTTTCTTTTTTTGTTTATTTTGGTTTTAGTTTTAATGCTCATGTTTATGTTTATGTGCTTAGCAGACGCTTTTACCCAAAGCGACTTACAATTTTATTTATTTATTTATTTTTTTAACCTATAGGGCATGTTGTGATCTGTGGGGGAAACCGGAGTACCCGGAGAAAACCCACGCATGCATGGGGAGAACACGCAACTCCACGCAGAAAGGCCACAGCTGAGTTTCGAACCTGCAACCTTCGTGTTGCGAGGCAACAGTGCTAACCACTGTGCCACCATGCAGCCCATCTACATATCCATCTACATCCTAGATCGGTGTTCCTATGAAAGGGTCGGTAATAAAGACGTGACATAAACACTAAACAATGCAACAAAAGTCAGATTTTTGTTTCTCAGCTCGTTGATGTCAGCTTCTGAACCCTAACCCTAGTCCCCACCCCGCTCCGCCGCCTTAACTTTAGGTTAAACTAGAAAATCCCTGAAGAACTGTTAAAAAGGAACCTGGCACACATTTTCTGTTGGAATTCCCCTTGCCCCACCCCTTTTGATGATGTCATCAAAGCAAATCATTAATTATTTGGCAGGCCAATTAAAGAGGCATTTTTACAATGTTGTGTGCTAATTACGTTGCCATAAATAAGTAAATAAATAAATAAACTAGAAATATCCTGAAGAAGACAGCCGGGCTCCCCTTAGCTCCCCTGTAATTAGAAACCCGATTATAAGTAAAGGTCTAAATTATTAGCACGTGTTTCTAGCCCAGTTTGGGCGGAGTTGAAGCGCCCCTAGATTGAAACCTAGCTTCCCTTAAAGTGCATGAAGTTCAAATGATGACACATGGTTATAGTTGAGCTCTAACCCTAACCCCTGAGTATACGATTGGACTATTAATCTAAATTATAAGTAAGTCTAAATTATAAGGAAAATCTAAAGTAAGAGTCATAAAAGATTTTCTGTCCCTTCTCGCAAATAAACCATCTTTGTCACATTGTTTGGGTTCAGTTACTCGCATTTCTCTCATTAAATGCTGTTGGTCCTTCAGATTCTTGAAACTCTTCTTTGCTTCTTCAAACTCTATTTCCTGTTCCAGAGCCTGCCTCGTCAGCTCTACATTTCCAGATCAAGCTGATTTGATTCTTCCTCTTTTTCCTCACATGGCTCTTGGAGACGATTGTATATTTCTGCATTCTCCTTTTCAGATTCTGTCTTGTGTGTTTCAAAGTGAATCATTTCCTTCTGAAACATTTTCCTATCAAGAATCAGATCTTCTAATCCCTTCTCCAGATCTTTTTGTCTCTCATGTAAACTAAGACTTTCTGTTTTCATCAGTTCAACAAAGTGAATCTTTTCATCTTGCAGACTCTGTTTCATCAGCTCTAAATGTTCCCTTTCATCCTGGAGAGTCTGATAAACTTCCAGATAAAGCTGATTTGATTCTTTCTCTTTTTCCTCAAATTCTGCCATCTGTTGCATCAGACTTTCCTTCTCGACGTGTAAAATGTCGAACCCCTCTTGGAGACGACTGTATATTTCTGCATTCTCCTTTTCAGATTCTGTCTTCTGTGTTTCAAAGTGAATCATTTCCTTCTGAAACATTTTCCTATCAAGAATCAGATCTTCTAATCCCTTCTCCAGATCTTTTTGTCTCTCATGTAAACTAAGTTTTTCTGTTGCAATCATATTTTCAAACTCCAATTTTTCTTCCTCCAGGCTGTGTTTCTTCATTTCTAAACTATCTCTCTCCTCCTGGAGACCCCGCTGGATGTCTCGTAAAGTCTGATGAGACTCTTTCTCCATCTCCTCAAATGTATTCCTCTGATTTTCCAGACTTTCTAGTCCAGCGTCTACATATATAAGCCCATTTTGGAGATAATTGTACATTTCACTTATCTCCTCTTCAGATTTAGTCTGGGGAAGTTCAAAACTCATCATTCGTTCCTGCAGAAATTCAGTCTGAGCAGAAGGACTTTCTACCTCGTCCTCCGCAGCTGTTTCTGTATCATTTATGTTGGAGGTTTCTTTTTGATTTGCTTCTTCAAACTCTGTTTCCTGTTCCAGAGCCTGCCTCATCAGCTCTAAGCTTTCTCTCTCGTCTTTCAGAGTCTGAAGGACTGAATTCATTTCATGAGGTGAATCTTCCTTTTTCTGCTGAAAGTGAATCATATCTTCACTCAGACTCTTCCTATCAAGAATCAGATCTTCTAATCCCTTCTCCAGATCAGTTTGTTTCTCATGTAAACTAAGACTTTCTGTTTTCATCAGTTCAACAAAGTGAATCTTTTCATCCTGCAGACTCTGTTTCATCAGCTCTAAATGTTCCCTTTCATCCTGGAGAGTCTGATAAACTTCCAGATAAAGCTGATTTGATTCTTTCTCTTTTTCCTCAAATTCTGCCATCTGTTGCATCAGACTTTCCTTCTCGACGTGTAAAATGTCGAACCCCTCTTGGAGACGACTGTATATTTCTGCATTCTCCTGTTCAGATTCTTTCTTCTGTGTTTCAAAGTGAATCATTTCCTTCTGAAACATTTTCCTATCAAGAATCAGATCTTCTACTCCCTTCTCCAGATCTTTTTGTCTCTCATGTAAACTAAGTTTTTCCGTTGCAATCATATTTTCAAACTCCAATTTTTCTTCCTCCAGGCTGTGTTTCTTCATTTCTAAACTATCTCTCTCCTCCTGGAGACCCCGCTGGATGTCTCGTAAAGTCTGATGAGACTCTTTCTCCATCTCCTCAAATGTATTCCTCTGATTTTCCAGACTTTCTAGTCCAGCGTCTACATATATAAGCCCATTTTGGAGATAATTGTACATTTCACTTATCTCCTCTTCAGATTTAGTCTGGGGAAGTTCAAAACTCATCATTCGTTCCTGCAGAAATTCAGTCTGAGCAGAAGGACTTTCTACCTCGTCCTCCGCAGCTGTTTCTGTATCATTTATGTTGGAGGTTTCTTTTTGATTTGCTTCTTCAAACTCTGTTTCCTGTTCCAGAGCCTGCCTCATCAGCTCTAAGCTTTCTCTCTCGTCTTTCAGAGTCTGAAGGACTGAATTCATTTCATGAGGTGAATCTTCCTTTTTCTGCTGAAAGTGAATCATATCTTCACTCAGACTCTTCCTATCAAGAATCAGATCTTCTAATCCCTTCTCCAGATCAGTTTGTTTCTCATGTAAACTAAGACTTTCTGTTTTCATCAGTTCAACAAAGTGAATCTTTTCATCCTGCAGACTCTGTTTCATCAGCTCTAAATGTTCCCTTTCATCCTGGAGAGTCTGATAAACTTCCAGATAAAGCTGATTTGATTCTTTCTCTTTTTGCTCAAATTCTGCCATCTGTTGCATCAGACTTTCCTTCTCGACATGTAAAATGTCGAACCCCTCTTGGAGACCACTGTATATTTCTGCAATCTCCTTTTCAGATTCTGTCTTCTGTGTTTCAAAGTGAATCATTTCCTTCTGAAAATTTTTCCTGTCGAGAATCAGATCTTCTAATCCCTCCTGCAAACTGTTCTGACCGTTTTTTAGACAAAGTCTTTCTGCTTTTATCAGTTCAAGAAAGTGAATATTTTCCTCTCGCAGCTCCTGATTCATCCGTTCTCTCTCTTTTTGCAGGAGTTCCTTATTATTCTGATCCAATTTGTTCTGAACTTCCACAAATTCGAGTTTCTGCCGCTCCAGGCTTTGTTTCTCCAAGTCTAACCATGTGCAGCCTTCCTGGAGAAAGCTGTATATTTCTTCATGCTCCTTTTCTGTTTCAGCCGTTGCTTTTTCAAAGTTCAACTGATCTTCCTGCAGGGCTTTTGTCTGGAGAATTACATCTTGAATGCCTTTCTGTAAATGATTTTGACTTTCAGTTAACTTTAGCTTTACTATTTGAAGCTCATTTTTAAAATCCACCTTCTCTTCCTCCAGATTTTGCCAAATAAGTTGTAGATTTTCTTTCTCTTCTTGCAGAATCTGTCGAGCATTTTCATTCTCCAGCTCTGAGCTAGACTTCTGCTGTTCAAACTCGTCTCTCTCAGCCAGCAAAGCTTGTCTCAGTTCTTCAAGTTTGTTTTCTGATAATTTCTTTGATTCATCAAAATCGAATTTCTCTTTCTCCAGATCTCTTTTCATCTGGTTTATTTCTTCAATCGCGCTTGCTTTGCTGTCTTGCAGCGATTTCCAAAGCTTTTCCGTTTGAGATTTTTTCGTAATCAAATCTTCTAGAAATTCCTGATTTGATGTTTTAACTTCTTCAATCTGCTTCCATTCTTTTTGAATTTCTGTCTTAGCTGTGTCCAAATCTTTGCTTTCCTGCTCAAGCCTCCGTTTCTTTTCTTCTAGACGTTGATTTTCGTCTTCCAAATCATCTTTCTCTCGCTGGAAAATGATTTTAAGCTCATCCTTGTAGTCGTTAATTTTTTTCAGAACTTTTAAAAAATCCTGCTTATCATTGAAGATAATCTGTTTTTCAGTTTCTACAGACCTTAATTCGTCCAGTGGATCCTTGCAACTCTCTTGTAAATCCATATAATTCAGGTTGATAGCTTCAGCGGCCATCTCTGCTAGTGGCTAGTTCCTGTCGCGGTGATAGACTGTTGCCTTCTGACCTGTTGAGTAGACGATGACGTCATAAAGGCTTTGTCGGTCTGGACTGTACCTGTCAGTACGCATGCGTGGTACCGGAAACCCGATCGGTACCACGCATGCGCGAAAGACGTCTACTTCCGCTCGAAGCCTTTTACGATAGTTAGGGGTCAGAGAGTATCTGTTAAGATGTTAAAAATAATAAGTATCTATTAAAATGTTTGCAATATTGAAACATTTCAATACAATGTAGATAAAAATGAAAAAAAAAAGAAAACGTCGTACCGTACAGATCGGGTCTACCTGATCCGTACCGCGCATGTGCAGATGTTCTATTCTTCTTGTGATCCGTTAAATGGCAGTTTACTCCACAGTGTACAAGGATACTGCCACTTGCTGAATGAGCGAATTAGCCCGATTGTAAACTGAATTTGCGTTGTTACAAGTCGTGTTTTTATATGCGTGTTAAATTTGATTTAGCGTGTTTATGCTTGTAAATGTGGAGACGATTGATTGGAATTATCTTGATGTTCTGTTGATGATGTCCACTGTAAATTGTCAGTAAACACTGGCTGATTAGTCTTCAGGTAACCTATTACATGTTTGTTTTTTCTCCACACAATAGGTTAGATTTTCATTTAAAAGCTGAAAATGTGTCATTGTGATACAGCAGATATTCTTAATTTGCACTACATGTCCTATGAATGTTTTCCAATATGAAATGTAATATATTCTTGCACAAAAGCCAATTTGGCTCATCACCTAAAATTTGTTTACTTTCTACTTTTGTGTTAGATTTCTTAGTTTGCCACTTTGTCTTGAAATAACTTAATTCTTTGTAATACCATAGTGATCATTTTCACAATGTTGCAAAATTAATGTTGTAAAATAGTTTCTCATGGTGTTCATAGGTTAAACATTTTTTAAATACAGATTTAACTACACTCATGTTTGTATCCATATAAAATAACACAGGACCACTTTATAATTTCCACCGGTTTACTGTAATAATGCGGAACACAAAACAGATTACAAGAGCATGAACAACAGAAAAAGGATTGAGAGGATGGTTACAATTATTTGAATAAGGAGACACATATTGATGGAAATAAAAAGCTTTTTATTTTCAGCGTGTCCTTTCTGGCAGTGTGGTACTCCGAGTACCAGGTACAAGCCCAACAGATTCACTTTCTCAATCAGAGCATTACAGTTTTTGCTATAGTACTCAATTCAATTCAAATTCAAAAATACTTTATTAATCCCAGAGGGAAATTGATTCTCAAGAAGAATGATCAAAAACTCTCACAAAGAAAAACAGGCATCAAAACACAAACCAAGATGTGGGAGAACCACTGATGGGGAACCTGGTCACTACAACCAGGGTGGTGTGTGTGTGTGTGTTCTTGAACATACTACATACGGAGGACCATTTTCCCTACAAAGTGAGGGCATTTTTTGGTCGTCACTTTTTTTAGAAGCATACCAGAAGCTTACTATACCACTTAGAGGCATAGTGTGAATTAAGTTTTAGTTAAGGTTAGGGTTAGGAAAAGATCAGCGTTGGTTATGGTTAGAGTTGGGGTATGGGTTAGGCATGGTGAAATCACAAAAATGAATGGAAGTCAATGGAGGGTCCTCACTATGATAGAAAGACGTGTGTGTGTGTGTGCATGTGGTTGTGTGTGGAGACGGGGGCAGCGACAGAGCGGACACATTAATTGTTCATTTGGCTGCAAAAGTGGCTGCAGTAGCCTGGGAGCATCTCCTCCAGGTAAAATGCCCTTAGTTCTCCTCTTTTTCCTCTGCCAACCTATCCTGTAAAAAAAATAAATAAATAAATCAACCAGAGAAGAATATGCTCCAAGTGGTATGGTTTTCATTATGTCATGCATCATTGAGATTTTTATTATATGTAATGACAACAATATAAGATTATTGAGTGTTGCATACCTCCGGGGCAGTGTTTGTATTGGTCTCCACATTGAAGGCAGATCTCAATAGAGTACATGTTAAAGTACTGTTCTCTGTACTTTTCTGAGAACCTGCTCCATGTGCAAACACCTGTGGAAAGCAGAAGTATAAAAACAAGATTACATTTACATGCTGTAGTGAAAAACGTGACAACAGCAACAATAACTGTATATATAATTTCATTATTTACTGAAGTCCTCACTGTGAAGCCACTTGAAGTGTGCTCGTCTTCTGAAACATTCAGTAGACACAAGGTCTCTGAACATGGAGCACACCAGAGCCAGTTTGAAGATCGCTGTATCCCCTTCATGAAGAACAACCTCTTCCAATATGTCCATGAGGACACGTTCTGGTAACTGTACAATTTATGTCAGGTGACAATAGTGAAAATACAAAATTTGTCCATAAAGTTTCAGAAATATGAGGACTGAAAACACATTACGTTGAGTAGTGTTTCATAACTATTACTTCATTCTACTACTGAATAATGTCTCTGAAGGAGCTGCCTGTGACTATAACTACTAATTCAGTTATATCAACAAATTAAAGAAACAGGAAAATAGATTACCTCCAGTATAAGACACCTGTCGGCCTCAGCCTTTAACAGTAAACATGATTATCACGTTAGACTGAAATGAAGACTACCACCATATATGTAAACCTGCATTGTGATGAATAGTCTCAACATTGTGTGGTTCTGTCCTACAAATAGTTATCTGATTGTTGTCCTCTCTCACCGGTCTGATTAGACTTGGAGGAGGTTGCCTTTGGTACCCTGAAGACAGGCTGGAGATTTCCCTGGAGGAGAAGGGATGCTTCTTCTGTCCAGAAGGCAAATCTTTGTCCATGCCTTTAGAAAACAACGCCAGTCTGAATGGACTCTAGTTGTGTACTGCTGCTTTCTTCAGTGTGTTCAGTCACAGGGTTTACAGTAAGCCACTTTCACAAACTTTTGTTTGACCTGATGTCTTGCCTGAACCAAAGCTGCAAATATGATGGTGCCAGTTTGTCTAAAGTGCCTGCCATACGCCTCAATGCCGAATCTCTCCATCAGCTGAATACACCACCACAGGCGAACTGCTGGCATTTCCTCCTGAAGACAAATATAATGTAAGGTTTATAAAGACTGGAGACTGGCACAGATACTTTGGTGGTACTGTCTGAAAAAGCTTACCTCTGTGAAAGATGGTGGAGATGAGGTGCAGATGCAGACAGCATACTGCAAAGTAAAATCAGTCTTTAACATGTTAAAATGTTATATTCAAGTAATGGCAAGTAAATTCTCACCATCAGCATAAAGGTGCCGCAGCAATTTCCCATGAACTGCTGGAGAAAGAACTGTAAAAAGAAAAATGTTTCATTAAATGAAGAGAGCTGACATGCACCTGCTAGTTTTTAATTGCATTATGATGCACCTGATGAGCTTTCAAACTTTTGCACTGAAAACATTCCTCAAGGTCTCTTCCTGTTTTCTCCACCCAGAATCCAGAGTCAATGAAGGCTGCTACTCTTCTGGCATTGTAGAGAACACACATAACACACCAATCAAATGTTTGCCATAAAACAAAAATAAATTCATGTTGTGGGGATGCAACAATACTTTTTCAAACCGATACGATACAGATAATTGGATCCGAGTACTTGTTGATCCCAAGTACCAATGCTAATAATTCTACCACACAATGGAATGGAATGAATCGGACGGCAGTTTTATTTTCTTCAGTGCTTGTTACAAATAATGGTTAATAGGGCTGCAACAACGAATCGATGAATTCGATGAAAATCGATTACTAAAAGCGTTGGCAACGAATTGCGTCATCGATTCGTTGTGTCGCACAACTCTTCCAAAAGCGTCCCCCCTTCCCGCCCACCGTTGCGCGCAGACAGATCAGCGCGAGAGAGAGCCGGCAGTTGTTTGGAAGAGGAACATGACAGAAGCAGCGAGAGTCAAAAAAGTAAAAGCTTTTTAAGTTTGGGAGCATTTTCAGTTAAATCAGGCGAAGACATGCGTTACCTGCAACGTTTAGGTCAGACTTGGCATGGCACGGGATGATGCAGCGTCTTAAACGCAAGCATGTCGGGATCATCAGCGAGGAAGGAGAGAACTCTGTGTCCGGGTAAATTAAAAACTTTTCAAAAGTGATTCATCCAAGTCCCGGATTATTACACAGGCTAGACATGCCCTAAACTCGTAAAAAAAAGAGTCTAAAGTTGTGAGCGCGACGCTTATTAGATGAGCGGGGGGACTCGCGCTGCTGCGAACCGGTTCCGCCCAAGGCCGGATTAACTGGGCAATTGCCCAGGGCCCACGAACTCTAAAGGGCCCAGGGCACGAGCACAATACTATATCTATAATTTCCCGCTTTATGAGGACTATGGTGACCGTACGTTCCGTTTTCCCCGGACGTGTCCACTTTTCACTCTCTGTCCGGCGCGTCCGGACTGCGGGTTCTTGTATTGATGAAAATGTCCGGCTTTTCATCCAGGAGCAGGGATCGAATTATGGGGGAGCTGTATATCCTACACATCCAGGGAGCCGGAAAAAAGTTTTCTATATTATATCATTTTTGGACTCTTTTGAGCAGAGAGCGGCACAGCGCATTGCTGCGCAGCGATCCAGGCAGCTGCTTCCAGCGCACGGTCCATTCTCAAAGTGGCGCAACCAAAAAACTATAATTAGCACACGATCGTTCATGTCTGCACATGTTCTCTATTTTCTGTCTTATTTGTGCCTGAAGCGCTCTGCTACTGCGGAGCTCATCACCTGTGCTGCGGTGATTTCACCTCAAGCAGCATCGAAAACGCGCTCTGCGCTTTGTGGTCAGGAGATCCCTTTGATCTGCTCAAAAGTAACTGATGAGGTGAACAAGTAAGAATCCAGGCAGCAGTTTTTCTGGAGAATTAAGAGGAGATGCAGGAAGATGAGACAGACAGGACAGGAAAATAGTTCAATAAAAACAACAAAACAAAACAAAGTGTTGAAAAGTAAAATGTAGGTAGATTTATCTCCACTACACATTTTTACCTATAAAACAATAAGTTACACACATGTAATATTTATAAATTTGATAC